GGTTTGTTTAGTAGAAAGAATAAGAGTTGATTGCAGAATAGCTTTGAAGTGTAAGTGTTCGCAACTTTACGATCTTTGCGTCGTAAATTTTCATTTTAGAGTCACGTCATTTATACGCTCGTGAAATGTAAACGTATTCAAAGAAGCTAAATGATGGCACGTACCTACCCTCGCTCGTGCGCGATCCTAGAGTCCGTGAATCTGGAAGGACGAGTATCTATCTCGGACTCATGATTTTTGTCTCGACAAAAATAATGCACGCATTCTTCGACCAAATACAGCACGAGGAAGCCACAGGAGAATACCAGCTCGGAATAATCTGATAGACTTTGACGTACTTCTGGTAGCACGTGAAGCATCGCGGTGGCTAGGAGAACACCAGCGCCGAAGCACAAGGTACAAGAAAGCAGCAATTTCTGTTGGAGTTGGTGAGTACGCGAAATAAAGCAAGCAGGCACGATGCCGACGACGAAACTGCCAGCGCCAATCAGCACCATCGACGCCAATTTTGCTTGCATGGCGTTACTGAACATCGTCTCGTTAGCTATTAGATATCTCGCTGTTATGATTTTCGACGTTTCAAACGTGCGCAATCTCGATCTCTATATCCTCGTTCGCAATAATAACTTAAAATTAGCGTATCTCATCTAATACTACCGGATATCAAATTCGCAGAAATTCCATCTCAGTCTTGATCTTCACACGACAAATAAAATGTTTTTTAGGAATACTTTGAAGACGTTGTATATGCGTCGTAACAACACGATGGATTCAAGACTCTCAAGACTCTAATCTGACGGCAATGATAACGCTGATAGAGACCGACACTTGGCATTTGGTATCCACCGACATGGATATTGGAGGGAGTCTACTATGACTTTATCATTAGTCTCGCGACTAGCGGTACATATTACATACATCTAATTCTGATCTTAGCTTATCGCGCACACACACACACACACACACACACACACACACACAACGCACGCACGCACGCACATAATACAGAAATGTCCTCTCGAAATGTTATTGTAAAATCTTGATAATCTAAATCTGCTATTATAAATCCGCTAGCTATTAGATGAAATAAAGTCTGTTCTTCATGCGTAAACAATGACTACATTTATATTCATTCCATTCTTCAGAGGAATAGCTATGATTCAGCTTCATAATATAAATGTTATAACCATCATATCAGTATAACTCGAGCCATGTAAACGTAGTTACTGACGATGCGATGAAGGCGTTGTCATTAAATAAAGCTAAAAACAAAAATAGGCGATAACATTCACACGTGCGAGCCATAATACTGTCAAAAAAATGTTATGAGAAAACTAATGAAGTTGCTTCGTCTTTGAAAATGTAATGTCAATCAATTTGTAACTATAATCGCAATTATAATCGCAATTATAATCGCAACATACATTGCGTATTATCGCTCATACTTGTTGCGCGCAACAAAGTTAAGTTGTCTAATTGCCCAATTCGTCTTGCACGCGAAAAAAAAATTTTTCATTAAATCTATTCATAGAATCTATCACATTCTGAAAAAAAAAATACTCACATGCGTACACCTCACTTTGAAGTTTAAAGTTCTATAATACGCGTACGATTACACACCATTCGATAAATGAAATTTTAGTAAATGTTCAACTTTACACAGCTCACTTCAAATAATCTCTTTGAGGGTCAAGATCAAGGTCAAGATCACTCGGAGGTCATTTGAAGTGGGCTGTATAAAGATGAACATTCATCACTTAACTTTTTACAGAATAGCAAATACATAATAATAGAAAATAAGAGCGATAGGTGCAAAAAGCGCGACAGCAACTAAAAAACTGATTAGAAGATATACCTAATAATATATATGTTAAATATCATCTATTAATTCATGATATCGAATCCTCTTCTTCGTTCTTATACACATTTCATATTTTAATGTAGAATTTAATAATATTCTGTTCTAATTTCCTCTTGTCTCTTTTTGTTTTCTTCATATCATATATACTCTGATAGCAAAATGTTAGCAATTTGGGGTCAAATTGGCAACAAAGTTGATTAGTTTTTGACTACAAAATCATAGCCATCTGTGTCCACATTTGACTATAGATTTGTCGACAAAGCCTGCTGACAGGCTGTGTCAGCAGATTGGTGGCAGAAATCGAGCAGAGTTTGCTCGAATCAAGTTCTGCTCTCAATCTGCCATCAAGTTATCCAAAACTTTATTCGATTTCTGCTACCAATTTGCTAACAAAACATGTCTAACAAGCTTTGTCATATTTCTGACAGCAATTTGCTGTCAGATAATACAAACTCTGAGTTACACAATTTATTGTCTTTCTACTAATCAAAAATTGATAGCAGACTCTGCTCAAAATCTGTTTCAAGTTTTGTTATAAGGGTATTAAGTCTAAAATAAACATCTATACATATAGTAACATATAGTAATAGTATTAAAATGAATTCGATTTATTCAAAACGTATGTATTGTGTTTAGATATATATTCACGGAGTATTATTCTTCACGGAAAATTATTCATTCAAGTGATGTTGAATCAAATTTCTAAATTTTTTCTATCCGTAATTCGCTTAAATCAGTAATTATGGATTAGTTATTTATGTTCTCATCCAATGTGCAGAAATGAAACATACGATCAATCCGGTTAAATCCGTATTGCCCAGCAAACAAGAATAGATTAAAATGGATTAAAATTTGTTTAATGCGTACTTTAAATCCATGAAAATGGACTGAATGGATTGAAATGGATTGGATCCGAGCTGACACTAATTTAATATTCGAAAAAAAAACATTCATATTTAAGGATTACAAATTTTATTCCTAAGACATTTATAATAATTATACCTGAAATTAACTACTTCAAATTGATATTAAAAAACGCATCTTGGTGAGATTCGAATCTGGGACCTCTAGATTATGAATCTTCTACGTTACCCGCTATATCACTTTTTCAATTGTAATGTGTTATTCATTTTTTTACTTCAATCAGCTAAACTAGTAATGAAATTATATAGATATAATAAAAATATTATCATTTAACAGATATAGTAAAGTATAAACAATTTACATTACTATAAGACAACATCGGGTAAGTGTCAGATAATCTAACCTCGCATGACCGATGTCGCGCGCCATGATTAGTCTAATATTCCGGGCTTGTTCGACTTAATTTGTGGGTGTTCACAATCATCGATCATTCATTTTACTCCTAGTTAAAAAGAAACAAATGAACATAGCTTAATTATTTTTACGTTACAATTTTTTTGAACTTAGTTAAATTAAAATGAAAAATTTCCTTGTAATTTTAAATAATTTAAGTAGCATTTATGATCCATTTTTAAATAAAAACTTTTTTTATTCAATTAGATTGAAAAACTGCATTTCAGAATATTAAGTGTACAACTTTGCTTCCGCCGTTTTCCTATAGATGGCTTTAGCGGTAAATGGTGGTCGAAATAAATAGATCATAGAATAAACTAAACACGTCATACAATAAACTTGGGCATCTGTCAACATAACCCCATAGAAACATTATTCGATTTGTGTCTGCATCATAAAGTTATTCTCGATTGAAAATGTCAGTTTACGAGCCAAATTCTCGTCATTTGCGGAAGGTTTTAATTTTTTGCTTCAATATGAAGAAATCTGCGGCTGAGGCTCATCGAATGCTCTCAAATACTTATGGTGAGGCCGCTATTAGTAAAAGAACGTGTCGTGAGTGGTTTCAACGCTTCAAGAACGGTGATTTTGACGTCGAAGACCGGCATAGCGATGGAAGAGAGAAGGTTTTCGAAGATGCAGAATTGGAGGCATTACTTGAACAAGACTCGTGTCAAAATCAAGAAAAATTGGCACGATCATTGGGAGTGACTCAACAAGCCATTTCAAAATGCCTCAAAGCCATGGGAATGATTCAGAAGCAAGGAAATTGGGTGCCGTACGAATTGAAGCCGAGAAATGTTGAACGGCGTTTGTTTGCTTGTGAATAGCTGCTTGAAAGGCAAAGACGGAAGGGATTTCTGCATCGCATTGTGACTGGGGACGAAAAATGGGTTCATTACGATAATTCCAAGCGCAGAAAATCATGGGGAAGTCCCCATGATTCCATGCCATGCTTCCACGTCGATGGCCAAACCGAATATTCACGGCTCCAATGTCATGCTCTGTATTTGGTGGGACCAGCTCGGCGTAGTGTATTATGAACTGTTAAAACCGACTGAAATCACAGGCGATCGGTATCGAACGCAATTGATGCGTTTGAGCCGAGCATTGAAAGACAAACGGCCGCAATACAACGAAAGATACGATAAAGTGATTTTGCAGCATGACAATGCTCAACCCCATGTTGCGAAAATGATCAAGACATACTTGGAAACGAAATGGGAAGTCCTACCCCGCCATATTCTCCAGACGTTGCTCCCTCTGACTATCATTTGTGCACACGGCCTGGCTGACCAGCACTTCCGGTCTTATGAAGAAATAAAAAATTGGATCGATTCAATGGTGGATAGCCTCAAAAGATGACCAGTTTTTTCGACGCGGGATTCGTACGCTACTCGAAAGATGGGAGTGACCAGCGATGGACAATACTCTGAATCATAAATGTATAACCAGTTTTTTAAAATAAAGCCTCGAATTTCGGAAAAAAACGGTGGAAGCAAAGTTGTACACCTAATATTAAATTGAGCAGTATTCACGTTGCACAGAAATTGCTGATATTATTTTTGAATTTGAAAAAACCGTACTTTCTATTCACAATTCTGAATTGAGTAGTATTCATGATGCACAGAAAATGCTAATATTATTTTTGGATTGAAATAGAGATATGCTCTATGCAATGAATAAAAATGCATTTAGGATTGAAAAGACATAGACATTTACTTTATGCATTCTTATAAATGAATAAAAATGCATTCAGGATTGAAAATTCATGAATGTTAAAATGACAAGGATTCATTTTAACATTCATGAATTCGTATTTTTGAAAATCTGAATCCATTTTAATCCATTTTAATCCATTCTCGTTTGCTGAGTGATAATTTATTTTTGATATCTTACCCAATATTTAACACAATGAATTAATTCGTTTGAATTTAATGCGCGGTATTGAAGAAGATTGTCTAATTAAGGTCATATTACATGCATCCGTTTTTTGTTGTATGACGAATTTTTTAAGCGTGTTAATTAGCTGCAATAGAGAGAATTCTCTTTGTCTATAGCTAATTAACAAATTTAAAAATTTGTCGTGCAACAAAAAACGAACGCCCATAATATTGGCCTAACATGAGAGATTCACCAACTGTTAATCATCGATCTCGGCAAAATTATATCGCTGAAAAGCACGCACCGAAGTGATATACATAAGTCGTTATTTTCCAAACAAAAACTCTAGTGATATACAGAATGTGTAATATTGCGGATCCACGGCGACAAGATAATTTCTAGACATAACTCTGGCCATGGCAGTGCAGATTATATTCGAGAGTCATTCTGTTGTCGTAAATCCATAATGTTTACTCTATGTATAGTACTAGAGCTCATTCGAGAAGAAATGATTCATATATCTGTGATTACTTGGTGCATACTTTCCAATAAATTGGGATTGCAGAATCTACCATTTCATTTCTGAAGAATCCATATGACTCTACTAAAGTTCACATTATTATACTTACCTAAACGTATAGAAACGGATTCAGTGTATTCAATCTCTACAAAATTCAACACCTTTTTCGCGAATAACACGATTTCGAAAATATTGATTCGTATAGATTTATCCAATCCAATCAGTTCTCGTTTGTTAGACAAATTCGAATG